GAATAATCTGCCTAAACAACCTATCAAAGATTACAGAAGTATTTGTTAATTACCGATGCAACATCAACCCTGGATAGGACTGCACTGCTGTAGGAGTACAGTGAAACATCAATGGCAAAGATATCAGACCGACATCGATTGCAGAACCACTGAAAAACCTGAGATTCAAGGGACCAATCTGTGGAATCAATCTGATCAAGTTGGGAAAGACAATTGTCCATGAGGTTGAAACCACCCGGAACATGACATACAATGAGATGTATCCATAGCATGTGGGCCCAATAAAGTAGTTCTAATGTTGAACCACAATGGGAATGGTTGCCATCTTGGTGATTGATATAGGTTACAACTGTGGAATTGTCTGAGTGAATCATGACAAGTTGGTTCTGTACAATAGGAAGAAAATTATCCAAAGCACATCATACTGCCAGTAGATCCAAGGTGTTGATATGATATGACATTTTGCTCCAAGACCATTGACAGGAAGCCACCCAATGATTGACCCATGTCCCCCAACCATGGAGAGAAGCATCGGTGAACAGATGCAAATCCAGACAAGGTGGAGGAAGTGGTACCCCTGTCGTTGTATTGTCCTTGTCTAATCACTAACAAAGATTGTCTGTAAGGGAAGAAGGAAGGGTAATTGTGGAGTCCAAGGAATTCCAAGCATGATTCCATTGGTCATGCAACATCCACTGAAGAGAACACAAATGTGCCCGACCCAAAGGAATAAGAGCTTCCAAAGAAGCTCAAGTCTCCAAAAGCAATAGAACCTTGCATGCAGAAAGAGCATGGAGAATTGAAAGCTCCATCAAGCAGAGACAAAGTGGAGAAGGTTGGGCCTGACTGAGGTATGTGTTGAAAAACACTGACTGGTAGTGGGATGCTAAAGTAACAGGAAGGATGTAGGTACAGGAGAAAATGGAGGAGGGGAAAGGAAAGGAATAAAAAGTTCACCTGACAAACCCTGGATCACCCATGGATCGGGAGTGAGCTCTTGCCACAGGTGAACAAAATTGGCCAAACGTGTCCACACTGGACCAGAAACCACCTGATACTCACCAAAACTGCTAGATAAGATTAACCTGACATTGAGACATGACAAAACGTCAAACTCCTAGCAAGAGGAAATGGTTACAAGAGAGGGCAGAGTAGCAGAGTGAGACAAATGAGCAACCAAAGAAAAAAGGGTTGAGTGTTGTCTCTCAGATTCCACACTTGACTCTAAAGACTCAGGAATATCTCCAAAGACAGACCAAAGGAGAAAAGGAGCCATATGCAGGTCCTGAAGATATGAGGAAGGGAGATGAACTTGGGACAGGACAGTGTCCCTCCCAAGGATATCCCAACAGCAAAGAAACCACATGTGAAGGGATAGGGCTGAGAAGGACAATCTCACCAACGTGGAGGTAATGGGTAACCTCTGAAAACTCCTCAGGGGAACGATGAAGTGACTCTGAAAGTAGGTGTATGGAAGACAAGTACCATAGGAAAGCAGTATGGGTAAAACAAAGTCAGGAAAAATGGGCTTGAGACAAATGGATTGGATCCTCAGGTTCCACCTTCCATACTGGCAAAAGTGACTCCAGCTGCTGGGAGTCGAGAAAAGGATGATTGACCTAATGATAAGCCAAAGCATAATGATCAGAAGCCCTTGGAGGACGAGGCATGTTAGCTCCAGCCCTCATTTGAGAAACAAAATGTTCAGCGTGTACCCTGATGTCAGGTGAAGAAGAGGAAACAAGGTACTCTAATGACAGTGTTATGTAACAAGGAAGGAACAGGTTCATAAGAAACTGGAGAATGAGATAAAATGACACAAACCTGAGAAATCATGTCCAAAAATGCTGAGAAAGGTCTGGCAGATTTCATCGGGGAGGCTTGGGAAGGCACGGCATAATCAGCTGGAGAAAAAAGGCTGTAAAATCGTTCTTGTCATGAACTGGTTTGGACAATACATGATGAATCCGAACATTATCAGGAAAAGATGGTCGACCAATATAAAGATCAATCTCCTCATGAATGATGGCCAAAAAATCCACAGCTGAGACCCTCCCAATCTGAAGCCTGTGTCATGACATTCAAAGTAGTGGGAAGACAATCAGAAGTCATAATACAAACTTTAGAAATCTCAATCAACTGTGAAAAGTTTGAAAATATAAAAAAACTAAAAAAGGTAAGTTATTGTGGCAAAAAAACTACAGAGAACCAACTGTATCAAAACAGTAATAAATGGTATAGCACTACTTCACCCAAAAAACAAGAACTCAACACGTGAACAGAGCACAATTGAAAACAACTGCCTAACAAGAAGCAATAATTCGGTAGAATTGAATAGGAGTCACATTCGTAAAGAGGGTGTGTCACGCTCCTACTGGTGAAGGGTTGTTACATGATGATTTACATGTGAAGATGCAGTATACCACGTGAAAAATGTTTTGCATACAGAGGGCAGCACTGAATGAGAATAGCTATACGTGTGAGCAGACGTAAAATACTATATCAAAATTTATATTTGTGTCCTCTAAGTCTTACCATTCTCACCATTAAATATGAAAAAAATGATGAATCAATACTATCAATTCTCTTAATAATCTTAAATAATTTATTACCACCACAACTTTACCTAAATTTTAACAATAATCAATACTCAATCACACTTTAAAAATACAGGGTAGGCCATAACATCTCCCACCCAAAAAAAGGAAAACTACAAGTAACACTTTTACTCTTTCTGTTTATATTACTTATTCATAATATTTAATTTTTTACTAACTTCTCAACAGAGATTAATATTGAAAATCAAGTGTAGACTGATTATTTTAAACTTGGTGTTTTTAAGGTTATCTGTTGTACATTAGGTCATGTACAGCTTGATCATAAATAAAGGTTTGTTGTTGTTTTTATGTAAAAGTGTAAGAGAACGTCTCAAAACATTTCTTACATTTCTTCAAATTAACAAAAAAAGGAAGACTACAAGTAACACAACAAACCTTTATTTATGATCAAGCTGTAATTCCATGATTACTGAATCAATCACCATTACATATATTCAAAGTCTCACCACAGCTTTGAGTGCATGCATGCATGGCATAAATTTCATGAAATACAATTAAATTAGTCTTCTCAGTATCTTTATTAATGTGGTTTGCTCTGATTTACTCTGTAGATTACTGAATATAAATAATATAATTACCTCATAAAACATTTTATAGGCAGAACAAATGATGGTTCTTCCAAACCAAACCTTCCTCAGTTCAAAATGAGGGTCAAACTCCCACATCACACTGACTGTATACCTGTATTTAAAACATGACCTAATGTACAACAGACAACCTTAAAAACACCAAGTTTAAAATAATCAGTCTACACTTGATTTCCAATATTAATCTCTGTTGAGAAGTAAGTAAAAAATTAAATATTATGAATAAGTAATATAAACAGAAAGAGTAAAAGTTGTTTTTATGTAAAAGTGTAAGAGAACGTCTCAAAACATTTCTTACATTTCTTCAAATTAACAATATTTTCCTCAGTTATGCTTTGTTT